AGTAAAATACAATACTGGTTGGGAAAAAAAAATCTGTTAATCTGCTAGGTGGTTTGTACTCAAGTCAAGTTAACATAACACAGTTAGTGATCATAGCATGAAAACTGCAAAGCTTGCCACCACATGGAAATCAAACATGCCATATTAAAAGACTAGCATATGGAATTTTTCAAGAGAAAAAATCATGAGCACAAAGAACAGGAGCACCTATTGAAGATCACGGCTTCATCAAATGTGTGTGCCCTGAAAGCATTATACTTAGTGGCTAACTGCATTGCTAACACTAAGAAGCCTTTTCCTATTTGTGAAGAGTTGATCCTGTCTGATGACATCTGCTGTGAACATATAGGACAGCTTACAGTTCAAAATATGGCACATCTTTCAGTTAGCACCATAACTAGATGAATCGATTAAAAAGCAGAGTATATTTAGGCACAATTATTAGAGAGGACTAAAGTCACTGTGGTATGAAATCCAGGTTGACAAGCCTAATGTTGACAACAATGTTTTTATACAATTTATATTTCAGGAGGCTGTGCATGAGGATATATTGTGTGTACTTTTGTTGCCAACAATTCGTCTTTGAATGATTAGATATCAGGAAAACTGAATTGGTCATTCTGTGTTCAGTATATGCACAGACGGAACAGCTGCCGTGACTAGACGGCTGTCTGGCTTCACTACTCAGGTCAAAGAGGCTGCCTCTGAATGTAAGTGTATGCACTGTGTCATCCATAGAGAAATTCTGGCTAGCTGAAAAACAGCACATGAACTTAATGAAATTTTGCAGAATGTTATTACAATTATCAATCACATTAAAGTACTGTAAATGCCCTTAACTCACATCTGCACAGCTCTGTGAGAAAATGGACATAGAAAACACACATCTTCTGTTATACTCAGAAGTGAGATAGCTTTCTAAAGATCGATCACTGGCCAGGTTTTGTCTTATGCAGCCACTCAAGAGACTTCTTTTAGAAGAACAGTCACCATTGGCAGGTCATTTCAATGACACAGGATCAGCTGCACAGCTTGCTTACTCGTGTGACAAATCCAACCTGCTCAACAGACTCAGTCTTTCACTTCAGGGGAGAATGACAATTATTTAAGTAGGCAGATAAAGAGGATACGTTCAAAGCCAAACTGTAATTATGGGGTGATGAGTGAATATACTGAGACTTTTGACATGTTTCAAATACTAGCAGAGATTTTGAGATAGCCAGAGCTTTCTTTCTTTCAGCTAGTGCATGACCGCCTATCTCAGCTTTCAAAAGAATTTGACCATTGCTTTCCAATCATAAAAGACCCCTTATCTGGGAACGAACATCTTTGGCCCATTTGTGAATAAGCCAGGTAAATCTCCTTTGTTCATGCTAGAAAAGGATCAGCTGCTTAAAATCACAAATGATGGTGACCTTAAAAGTATGTTTGAAGAGCCAGGGATTTAGCTCAGTGGCACCACACCTGCCTCACAAGTGCAAGATCCTGAGTTCGATTCCCAAGTACAAAAAAAAAAAAAAAAAAAAAAAAAAAAGAGCCAAAGTGTATTTGAGACAACTTCCAATCTCCATACAATCTGGTTTAAAGTCAAGGCAGAATATCCTGAGATTGCCACAAAAGCACTGAAAAATCTGCTTTCATTTCCCACATTCTATCTTAAAATTTTTATTTTGGTGTCAGGAATTGAACTCAGGACCTTGTGCTTGCAAGGCAGGTGGCAACACCACTAAGCTAAGTCTCCAACCCTTTTATTTTATTGGTACTGGGGATCAAACTCAACACCTTACGCCTGTGAGGTAGGTGCAGTGCCACTAAGCTAAATCCCTGGCCCTTCAACATCCTATCTTTGTGCAGTGACAGCAACCAAAACAAGATTATGAAGCAGATTGGACATAAACAGCACACTTCAGGTGTCAGTGTCTCCCATTACTCCAAGATAAGAACAGCTAGCTGCAGGAAAACAAACTCAGGACTCCTGCTGATTTTGCATTATAAGTTGCATAATTATTTCATTTTACATTACAGTGTAATAATAATAGAAATAAAGTGCACAATAAATGTGAAGCCCTCAAGTCATCCTGAAGCCATTCCCCTGCCCCTGGTCCATGGAAAAGTTGTCTTCCATGAAACTAGACCCTGGTGTCAAAAAGTTAGGGATTCTGTTTTAAAGGGCACTGGTCGTTTCTGTAGAGCACCCCTCCCTGCCTCACTGTGTACCCTTTGAGGGAGCATGCTTTGTCTGTGCACCCTCAGTGTCCAAGAGACCACAGGCACTGCATCAGTGTCAGTGCAGATGATCAAGTATACAGAACACAGTGTGACTCACGGTGTACAATGGTCCCACAAAGAACCTGCCACCCAGCTACGGTGCTCAGACACAAACATGAAGGCGCAGCAGCATGTCAGAAGTGCTAGAGGTCACATGGAAGGCTGAGAGATGTTACCTGATCACCAAGAAAGCACTTCCAGTGTAGAGGCACCAAGATTGGGACGTACTTCATGGAGGAGGAAACATGGCTGGACCTTGAGAGCTGGAAGGAATTTCCACAAATAGGAAGAGTGAGGGTGGGGTCCAGGCTGGGGCTGCAGCTAAGTGATGGAGCGCATGGGAGGAGAGCACACGTGGAGAGGAGGAAAAAGCAGCAAAGCCCGAGAAGTACACTGGAGTCACTGCAGAACCCTAAAAATTGCCTTTCTCAGTGAATGAGGCCTTTTTTATCTCAGACCAAAATTAGGCTGGGGTTGTGGCTCTGATGGAGCACATGCACCAGGCCCTGCATTCAATCTCCTACATAAAAAAAGAAACATTTGTAACTATATATTTATATAAACATTATATACACATAATATAGACATAAGTATATGCTGTATGTATCTTATATTAATGATTGTATGCTATATAAATTTATGCCATATAAAATATAGAGACACATTTATATATTTATATACATATATAAAACAAATAAATTCCCAACAAACCCTGATAGCTGTGATCAGCTTTTATTGGCAGGAAAATTTCTCAGCCATGAGAGAGAAAAAAAAAAAAAAGACAAAACAAAAACGAAAAGAACACTAAAATGATTTATCAGTGGCAACTTAAAAAAACTTTCCTTAGAGATTTTTATGCATAAAATAGATGACTTGTTGATGATTTCCTGGGGCCTCTTAAAATTATGGGACTGTGCTATACAAGCTTCCAAATCCTGTATTAGATTCAACAAATTTTATATGTCAGCTTTGCACACAACCTTAGGCATTGCTGTGACTGATTTTATGCCATCCCAGGGGCCTCTTCTAATGAGCTCTACCTCAACTAATGATGCTTTAATTCACTCTGTTGCCCAGTCAGAAACCTCTTTCCCTCTCCATTCACCTTCAACTAATCTCGCATCCCTGTCCTTCACCAGCAGCAGAAAGTCTGCAATCTGCCCCTTCTCTCCAGCTCCTCCATCTGGTTCTAACCATCAGCATCCTTGGACTGTTGGGAGTCTAATGACCTCCAGCCCCTGAACCTGGCCTGCACCAAGCCAACCCACACATTCCTCTGAACCTGGAAACCTGAAAGATATCACTTGGCCTCATATTTCACTCTGCTTGGGGGTTTATAAGAGAAGTAGAGGATGTGACTTCTGAGTCAGATGCCCGAGGTCTCCCAGTGTACTTGAACTCATGCCCTGCTACTTACCAGCTATTCGACTTTGGTGAGGCATAAAGCACCCACTAAAGTTTTCTGATCTGCTCAGAGAGGATGTGGACATTCACTTTGGAGTCTTTGTGGGTTGAAATGGACCTAAGACTCCTCTCCTCCATGAACTCACATCTGGAGTGGCCTGGGCTCTGGTCCTCTTCTCTCTGTGTCACTCCCTTGGTCAGCTCAACGAGTCTCACAGCTTTAATCACCCATACATTGAAAACGCCCACATTTACCTCCCAGCCCAGCCCTTTCCTGAGTCCTAGACTCAAACATCCATCTGACTCAGTGACATCTCCATGGGAACAGCCAAAGGGGCTGATACATTAACCCTAACATGTCCAAAACTATACTCTGAATTTTCCCTGCTCCACACACTATTTTTCTAATTTTGGTGGCTGGGACTCTCCTTCCATGTACTCGGGCCCAGGATTCCTCTGCTGTTCTAATGTTCTCACTCCTCTCAGCCCCTCCAGCAGCAAATCCAACTGGCTCTTCCTTCAGACTATGCACACAGTCTCACTTGTCCTTGTCATCTCCACTGCCACACTCTGGTCCCAGTTCCACTTCCTCTTACCCAGATAACCGCAGCAGCCTAACTGGTCTCTTTCCACCCCACAGTCCCTTCTCAGCATAGCAGACTGAGAAATCTGGGGTCATCGCTCCTTTGCTAAGGCCTCCATTGGCTTTCCATTTCAAACCCTACAAGCCAAAGTCTTTGCAGTCCTACCAGGCCCCCCACCCTGTGACCTCACCTCTTACTTTGCCCTTGCTCATTCTGATCCAGCCACACCATCACCATTAAGGTTCCTGGGATCCACCAAGAATGCTCGGGCCCTAAGGCCTCTGCACTGCCTCTTCCCTTTATGGAATGCCCTTCACCAGATCCCCCTGTAGCTCACTCCCTCACCTCCTACAAGTCCGCCTAATGTCTTTTCTAAGTGACATTTACTCTCCTACTATTCCTATCTCCGGTTCCTGGTTCCCCTTTCCTTCCATTCTTGCTATGCTGGGGATGGAACCCAGAGCCTTACATGTGCCATACAGACCTCGAATCCTGAGTTCCAGCTCCCTCACTCCCCATTTCAAAAGTGTAACTTGCCCTCCAATCCCTTGACACTCCTGGTCTCCCTTCTAGATTTCTTTTCACGTTGCGCTTATCACCTTCTAACATACATACTTTTCCTTACTGTTTATTGATTACTACCTGTCTACCCCCACTAGGACTTAAGCTCCTTGCGGACAGGGATGTTTGTCTTTTGCTTGCTGCTGTTACGTATCTAAGCGCGGAACAGTAGGGTTCACTGGTGCTGGGCACAAAGGTGTGCAGCTGCAGTGCCAGCTACTTTCAAGGCCTAGACAGGGTACTTGGGGCCAGGAGTCCCAGACTAGCGTGGACAACCCAGAGACCCCATCTTCTAACAACAAATATGAGATGAGCGGCCAGTGTGCGGAAGGTAACATTTGATGAGTATTCACAACGATTACGCAGCCACCCGGTTCCCCTTGCCTTCCTAAACCTATCTCCTTGTACTCTTCTTCTCACCCTGGCTCAGCGGCACTGCCCTCCCCCTTTCCCCAGGGTGTCATTTCTCTATCCTTCCACCCCTCCATTTCAGGAACGCTCCCTCTCTCTCACGCTGTAGTTTAGAAGGACCTCCCAGGCTCAGGGTCAGTCCCGTCCCCAGCTCGCCCCCACCCCCGCATGGGCTCCTCGCTTGTCACACTACTGGAATTACTTGTCATTTGTCTTCCCAGCCAATGTGCACGAAATCACCTCTTCCCTTCACCAGCAAGTCCATCTCCGCCTTTCCTCCAGAGGCAGCCGCAAAGGCTGGCCCCTTTGTGATTGGATGACTGTGACCCAGTCGGGCCGCAGACTGCCATCACCTTCCAATCAGGGCTGGGGCAGACCCTCAACAGGAGCCAATCAGAGTCTGGAGCTCGAGAACACAAAGAGCGACCAATCAGAGGAGGAGTGGTTCACCGCTGCTCAATCAGCAGCTGTGCGCGCGAGGCCCACGGTGGGCCAATCAGCGTGGAGCGAGAGCTGGGGTTTGTGCGCGCCGGTATAAGGGGGAAGCGGTGCCGGTCCGCGCATCTGGGCTGTGTGCGGTGCTAGAGGCCGGGTGAGGAGAGCCGTGGTCCGAGTCCGGGGTCCCGGGTCGGGGGGTGCCGT